ACGCCCCTCTTGGCACGATAGGCAAATTGCATGTTATCCTGTATGTCTTCTGTTGATTTTCTCAGTTCTTTCAAAACCAGTTTTTCTAAACATTTCATGAGGACTGATGTTAAAGCGACAGGTCTTAGGTTGTTAAAATTTTGTATTGATTGTTTCTTTGGGACAGGAATTATTTCAGAGCATAATTTCCATGAGAGTGGTATTATTCGTTCTTTCAAAAGACATTATATTGAAAATATCAGTATAAATGGGAGATAACTGAGTAGAACACATTTTAATAATTTTACTTTTTTGGTACAATTGTACTAATAACTAGTTAGATTTGTACGCACTATTGTACAAATAACTGCAGCCTTTTTTTTTCAGTCACTCTGCACAATATATCTAGCTGATAAATTCTAACTAAACAGATAGGTTTATCAATGATACATGATATGTATAATGTAAATAGCAAAGATGGTGGGCAATGTTCACAGAGCAAACATATAAAATTGTGCTTCTTCCTTTATTCTGAAGATTTGCTTCCATCCAGCACATGACAAGATAAAAAAGTAAAGATTTACAAAGGTCATTTTGCTAGTCTTCTTTCCATGACCATTTGTCTCATGAATACTTTTTTTCACCAGGATGAAAGTTCTTTTACAGTGGAGTCCACTTATAACGAGTCTGGAAAAAAAGAGAAGTCTGTTATAAAGACACTATTCGAAAACCCCGTTTTTTCTTCTTCTTTACCTTTGTAAATAAAATACTGCTATAGCGCTATCAGACAAACATGCGAGTTGGTTATAGCGGAATATTGCTGCTGCTATGCACAGTGCATAGGCCAATTATACATAATGTAAAACCTCGCAGGTTGAGAAACTTGTTGGTGATCTAGAGAAACAAAGAATGGGAGAGCCCATGTGTGTCAACAATGAAAGCTGGAGCGACTGAGTAGGGAGGGTGTGGCATGTGCAGACAAGCAGAACGCATCGGGTGATAGGCCAGCGTAGTTTAGATTATCAGGGCCAACCATGCCTCTCACTTCTCCAATGCGGGGATGGAGAGGTCACAGCAATGTGATGGATGGTGCGAATGTGTGATGTGCAAGCAAGCACATGTACCACAGGGTGTGGTGGGGTGGGGGAAAACACTGCGGGCGAGTTAGCCCAGAGCCCTTTCTTTCTGATCGCCAACACAGAGCTGCCAGTCAACATCGCTAGCGTTAGAGAAAGAAAACTGATTCGATTTTTGATCAAGTAAGACCTAGAGGTCATGTTGAAACAAAATCATCGCCAGGGGAGATAGTAAAAGGAAAAACAGAACATCAAACTCATAGAGTTAGGCCTACTTTACAGTTTCCCTTGAATTTATTACTGGATCCCTTAAAGCGAGAATCCTGCTATAACGGACATTTTGCACCGGTCCCCTCCCTCTCGTTATAACAGGATTCCACTGTATTTTATGGCTTTCCAGGCAATTTTGTACTTTATTCTAAGTTACTGCATTAACAAAAAATATCACTTAAGTTTTGTCAATTTTGGGTTAGATTTAATTTAGAATTTAGTTGAGACTGACAGCCCTGACAGACTTGCCTGATGTATCTTCTATGTGCACCGTGGTTCTTTCAGTTTGTCAGCTTGTTCTGAATAGATCTTGCCTTCCTGAGTATCAGGTGCAGAGAAATCTAGAGAAACAAAAGCCATGTTGTCCTCTAACAGACAGACTACTTGGGCCAGAAATCAGACCAGGTTAACATTCTTCCCCAAGACACTAATGAAGGAATTCAACAAAATATCACTGAGACCTTCAAAATCAAGTGTTTTGTTCAATGTTTCGAGTCCAATTGGTTATATTGTGCCAAAATGATTGCTTTTGTCCCACTCATGAAGGTAAATCTGGCTGACTCCAAATCAAACTGATGAATCTGATGGACAGTGTGTACTTATTATTAAATTTTTTAAATTGGTTTGAAGGTTATTAAATGTTCCTCTGACCTCATCTGTCTCTTAGGTTCTGGATGAAACCTTACCTGTCCTGAAACCAGATTTTTCAGCGTATGACAGTTCACCTGAGACAGGTGTCCGGCACATGTGGGTGGGACATGCCTCCTCTTTAGTACAGCTGGATGGGGTAACAGTTTTGACCGACCCGATTTTCAGTAATCGCTGTTCTCCGGTGCAGTGGATCGGCACTAAAAGATACCGACCCCCTCCATGCGCAATCGAGGAGTTGCCCAAGGTGAATTGTGTGGTCATCAGTCACAACCATTATGATCATCTGGATTATAACAGCGTTGTTGCTCTCAACAAAAGGTTTGTGCTTCCCTTTTAGTTTTCTAATTGTATGCAGCCGCGTTATTTTTCTTCTGTATATCCCTGCTGGAGGTCAGGGATATTAATAGCACTATAGATTGCATATATAGCACTCTATGCCGTATGAGTACAGGCTCTGAACGTTTTCATAGATGATATGATCACTGGGCATAATATTTCATTCACAGAAGATAAAAACATTTCGCATTAATAAGAAAACCAGTTCAACCACATAAAGTAAAGAAGAACTTTCTCAACCATACATTAATTATATATACATAAAAGGATAGCAGTGAAAGCAAGACATATTCAGCACCTTCTAACATATTATAACTAAAACTTGAGCAATCGCTTAAATGTATCAGGATTTGTTGTTTCTCTGAAGTCCTTGGGCAAGGGTTTCAAACTTTAGGGCCAAAAAATTAGAAACTTCTCTCACCAAAAAATATCTGACTTCATCTCACGGTGCTGTTGATTTTTTAATGTACTCAACTGTTTTATCTACAAAGAAAATAGAGTCATATCTTGCCTTACATGCAGCCATGTATCCTTTTTGAACGTGCTCTTGATAACTATACTGACGACAGTGGCTTCAGTTTGAGGTTGGAATTAGTTTTGAATTTGCTTGGACGGCGACCCCAAAGGGCCTTTTCGTTCTAATTTTAAAATCATCAAGGGATCTTTAACCCAATGAACCCGTAGCTCTGATATAATGGTGTACGAATTATTTGCCCCTGGCCTGAAGCACTGATATATCAGTGTGTGCTAGTCTACTACGGAATAGTAGTCCGTACATGGAGAAAAAGGAGAAAAATGATGTCAAAAGAACTTGTTGGTTAGTGGTTACTATTATAAAAGTCAAGGGAGCTCATGGAAGAGGGAAATTGGTTTGAATAAAAGGTACGTGTTGTTGAGTGTATAGCCATGTAGCCATTTTTTTTTTCCTCCGGAAGCCAGGGGACAGGTTAATTTGGGCTCAGGAGGTCAGGGTTCATTGGGTTAATCCAGGACATTCCCTTTGGAATTACTTTTAGAATGGAAAAGGCTGTGGAGGGGGGGGGGGGGGGGGGAGGAATCCGTTTTTGTTGAAATGAGTAAAATAACTTGCTCATATTTGCAAAACTTTTTTAATGTTTGCCTATTTGCTAAAAGAATATATATTTCAGATTTGGTGAGAGCCTACGATGGTACGTGCCCATGGGTCTCAAAGAATGGATGAATCAGAGTGGGTGTCAGAACGTGGTGGAACTAACGTGGTGGCAGGAGAATATCTACGAAGGTCCCAAAGGAAACATTAAATTTGTGTGCACACCTTGTCAGCACTGGTGCAAGCGGACGGCCACAGATGACAATAAGGTGATCACATGACATAGTTGTAAGGAAGCAGAGTTTTTTGGGGGTTTTTTTTTTTGGGGGGGGGGGACAACTGGTAACTGATGGTTTTTATACAGGCAAACTCAGACACACATACACAAGTGCGTACATGCATGCATGCATGCACACAAGCATGCATGTGCACACACAAATACAAACACACACGCATACACACACACACTCACACACATACCTGTGCATTCTCATAAGCACATGGACACATACATTCTCGCTCCCTTGCACATACTCACACATACCGGTACACAGTCACATACCCCTCCACAAATCGCACATACGCAGACACAACATGCGCACTCGCACATCCCGGGATATATATGAATGCCCACAGACACACGAACAATGTACATAATTATTTAGCAGGAAGATGAGTGCAAACCTGGGATTCCAGGTTGGTGGTTGTAGAGAGTCAGTATCTTGACCATACCCATGTGAACGAAAATATATAACAAAGAATCATTCCGTTTCTACATGGTTATCTTGTTTCCTGGTTTTGCAACATAAACGACTTGCTAAGGTTTGCAGGTCTTTGCCATTGATCCCTTCCCCATCTTATCATTTTTGTTTGTTTCAGTTTTATAAAAGTTCATCAACTTCTCTGTAATGACCAGTTAGTAAATATCTAATACAAACGGTTGTTTCGGTTTTGACACTTTGATTCAACCTAGTACTAGTCAGCTGAGAAATGCAGAGAAAGTTGTTTGTGTTTCGAGCCCACACCATTTTATCTTCTAATCCCTATACTTATTCTTGTTCAATTTTTTTTTGTCTTGATACTCTCCTTTACAACTTTACAACCACATCTGTCTCCATAAGGTAATTTCAACACCCCTGTCAGTCTTATCGTCCATCCTCTCATCATCACTGTCTACACATTCTTCTCTCACGCACACTCGGTTCACTATGGGTCGCTTCTTTAGCAAAATCTTAGGGTTATGCTTTATCGTCAATCGTCATTGTAACCTAATCCCAATCATTATGATCTTCTTTTGTTTCCACATAATCTTCATCATCCGATCTTTACATGTATGTAGAATATGTGACTCATTCGAGAGTGAGTCTTCTCAGCGTCGGTCTAAGCGCTGCCACTTTCAACGTAAGTAGTAAAACTTCTCGGGAACACTCTCGAAGGTGACCTTGGAAATTCGCCTGTAAATCGATAAGTGTTCAAGCAACTCAACTTTTGACAGCAAAAAACAATTCCAAAATGGTATCTGATTACTTTTTGAAAGTTTGAGAGTGAAACAAGAAAAATCAAGCTCTCTGTTGCATGCACAACTACCTGAATCCAGGGTGGTGCGTGCGGTGAATGGAAAGGTTTTAAACTAGCGTGCGCCAAAGAGGAGCGCTACGCATCGAAGTGGTGTGAAAAACAGCGCGCCAACGTGGTGCGGTGCGATACGAAAAGGTTAAGGTGTTTGACTGTCATTCAATAGGTCCTGGGTTTGAATCCGGATAGTGACGGAAAATTTTCTTCTCTAAAATTTTCTCCTTTCATCTCCTTCCCTGCTCTCTAACAATGTTCTGTGGTCTGTTTTCGTCTCCACTTTCTGCCCCCTCCCCCTCACCTCCTTTGCGCTCTCCTCTGGGCTCCGGACTCTTTCTGCAGCCTTTCTACTGCTACTCGTTGGCTCCTTTTTTACTACTGTCTTTCAGCCACACCCCTGATCTTCTGGTTGGAAAGATCTATACCAAGCCCTCTCAGATAAGGGTGAAAAATTTCATAGGTCTCGTGTGCAAGTTGCGCATGTTAAAGATCCCTTGTTGGTCCAATATTTATAAGAGTAGGCTTCGGCAACCACTTGGGCAAAATTCAAAATGTCCTACCCTTTGAAAATGTTTAATGTGTCCCACACGCTTATATGACCTTTTGCAGTTGCTAGCGCCTTAAAACACTTACCAAAACAAAACAAAAATACCGTTTCAAAGAGGACCTGGATGAATGTAGAATGATGGTGACAATATTTATATATATATATATATATATATATATATATATATATATATATATATATATATATGTTTGTGTAAATGTCTCCCCCCTACCCCACCCACCCACCCAGGTCCTGTGGTCCAGCTGGAGTGTCCTGGGACCCACACACAGGTTTTACTTTGCCGGGGACACTGGCTACTGTGAGGGCTTCAAACAGATAGGAAAACGTTATGGGCCTTTTGACTTAGCAACTATTCCCATCGGTGCATATTTTCCCAGGTAAGCCATGTTTAAAAAAATTATATTTGGTATCGTTCACTGTGTTATTACATGAATTAAATGTTTCTCACCATCTTGCCATATCTTGTATCTTTTGCCACATATTCTGGCAATGCCAATGAAAATTTAATTTTTCGCTTTAGCCCTTTTTAATTTGGTACCAAAGGAAGAATTTTCAATTTTAAGAATTATGCTTTTTGAATTTTAAGAATCGGTTCATAAATAAAAAAGAATAGGAGTTGTAAAAGTGGGCAAAATATGGATGATCCACATATAGGAAAATACTCCTAAAAGTGGACCATGCAATAGCAGAATCTGTAAGAAAATCGACGATATCTCAGTAACTTATTGGAGTTTTAGAAAGAAACTTGGCTTCCTAATGTGTTTTTGGGTGGAGAAATCATTTCTGCAGTCAGATTTACTAACCATTTCGTAGTTATTTTGTTATGATTAAAATTTTGTTGTACATATTACGATTTTTCGAAAAAGGGGTGTCGGGATGAGAGCATTAATTATAATTTATTTATAGCATCGTATCACAACATGGGATCTTTAAGAATATGTTGGCAGCCTGACTAAATAATGACATAGTATTCTTTGATGACTTTAGATCATGCCAACCTTAAAATATAATTAAATTGAATCTAGCATGCTGTACAAATAAAAACCCTTTTTTCCTCGTTGAGACGTGAACACCTTGAGGCGAGATAAACTTGCCTCGGAATACCCCCATTGCGATGCTACCGGGGAAGAGAGACAAAAACCACCTGATGTGTGCGCCCGACATTGCCCTATTTCAATTACCAATGAATGGGCTCGGAATAGTTGTTCAGGGATTTGTAGGTCACATACATTTGCGGAGGGAGTGAGGGGAAAATGGCCGGTCTCCGTGCGAAGCCGCTTTAGACAGGGGGGTAGTTGTGCATTTATGATCGGGTCTAAACAACTACTTGACCCAGCACGTTCAAATTTGAGGACACTGTAGAGGAAAGATAGTTATCTTACCATCTTGACCTTGAAAATCAAGCACATTATAGTTTTCGGTATACCCGATATGAAAGTATTCCCGACACCAAAAGTATAGGTTAATTTATGTGTACAAACTTCAACGTCCACATATCATTAGTTTGCATTATTTTTTTTATTGGTTGCCAAGTTTCATTCACATTGGTCCAGAAATAGAGCAGACCGAAGTTGAGTAAGTTAGTCACTTACGTTCCGACCCGGTCCAAAAATTCACTTGCAAACACCAACAGGGACCGAAATATTGCAAAAGCTCGATCAGCATTTCTACATATTTGTGTGGTACTATCTCCCTAAATACACTTATCATGTGTACTGGTGTCTATGATGTTGTCATTAGGCTCTTTGCTGTTGCACCCAATAGATACAAATTAAGTTTCTGTATGGGGAGAATTCGTATCAAGCAACTTGGTCTTTCTACTGGCATTTGTATCTCTCTCAGCCCAGATTGGCCTTAATAATTCCTTATCTCCGGCAAGCAACCCCCAGTGGCTGGCAGTTGGAATTTCTTTTATAGCAATTGCTGAAAACAGGTCTCTTGTACCGGGAGTTCATTCATTAGATGAAGAACTATCAAAATAAGTTCACTTGTTTTGATTTTACGACCAATTTATTGACATATATGTCACTTTTAGATTTCATATCAAGAGGGGGCCCCGGCGCAGATAAAGAGTTAAACCTTGCAGTGTTGAGGTATTTTATTTCTATCTATGTTCGTCCAGACAATATACAATCTTCATTCAAGAGAGATTTACACAAAACCGTAATATATGTCGTGTTATTAACGCTTCGATTCTGGCTTGCCACTTCAGTTTCTTCTTTTTTTTGGCTCCGCATTTCAGTGGATTGCCACTTAAATGGTGTTTCGGGGGTACCAATTTCATCAACTATAAGATCTACACCTGGTTCTGTGCCTCATTTATGTGTGATTTTCTGTCCAATTATAAATAGTCTGAGTGCTCACGCAAACAAATCCATCCATATTTGATTGAATTATACTATAGCCATTTTAAGGTAACACCTTTCATGTCTGTGGGCATAAAATTATGGAATCCTTTGCATACTCAAAGAGTCAAAGAATAAGCAACTATACAAGTTGCAAATACATCTTCTAGAATGTCGTGTAGAAACCAGTAGAAAAAATAGCAGAGGATCAGTTTGGGAGATCACGGGTGAGAACGTACACATCAGTAAAGAGATTAACAAAAAACTTTGCTTTAGGGTCAAACCATTGAGATCCTGTACAAATTTCAGATGATTAGTTCAGGGCCATACTCCATACATCATTTCAATTATCCCCCACCCTGTTCAAATCATGAGGGCAGGCAACTTGACCCCAATTCACCCACCTTTGCTTCTCCCATCCCTTTTCTACCACAAGAGCTTTCCCC